GGCTCTTCATAAGCCATTAGAGACACCACCTTTGTTGGTTCTTCTTTCTTGTTTCCATGGATTTCCTCGAGCTTATTCCAAAGCTCCTTGGCATTTGAACATGAAGAAACCCCTTCATAGATTTCATGACCAAATGCACAAAACAACATGTGCATGGCCTTGGCATTAAGTTGAGCTTTCTTCCGTTCTTTGTCACTCATCTTCTTCTCCTTCTTCTTTGGAGAAGAGTAGCCGTTCTCGATTATCTCCCATGCATCAAGATCATTGGATTGGATGAATACTTTTATTAATTTCTTCCAATGATGATAGTTGACTCCATTGAAGTATGGAGGTTTGTCGGTTGGTAGGGAGTCTTCCATGTGGAACGAGCCGGAAGTGGAAGCCATCTTCTCGGTTGTGTCGGGAATTGGTAGAGCTTCTTCGAGGATCGTCTCAAGGTGGTTAAACCTTCTTAACGAGTTAGGCTCTGATGCCAATTGTTGGGATTTTCGGAAGCTCGAATCGACAACCGAAACGGTTTGCAAAGAGGGGTCGGAATGGTTTTGTGTTTAGGGAGTAAGGAGATTGAAAGATAGAAAATTGCACAGCGATTTAGAGTGGTTCGACTTTATCAACCAAAGTCTACATCCACTACCTTAGCTCCTCACCAAGGATTTTCCAACAAATTCACTAAATTGTTCTTTCTTTTTAGAACAAAGAGATAACCTTACAACTCCCTAGTTTTTCCGGGCTAAACTAGAACCTTTCCCTAGCTTTTACACGGGCTAAGCTAGAACCTTTCCCCTTTACAAAAGGATAAAATAAGTAAACAAGAAAACCTCTCTAAGGTAGGTGTTTACAAGATTGAGCTCACAAGAACAAAATATATACAAGAGAAAGATGAAATAAGAATGAAAAATTCTTCTCTTGTGTTTGATTGCTTGGATAGTTGTTCTCTTTCTTCTTCAAGTGTCCTCAGCTTGTATTTATAGCTTGGAATGAGTTTGAAGTCGTATATAGTCGTTGGGGATGTTTTGGAGCCGTTTGGGGATGATTTTTATACTCAAAAAGGTTGCCCAGAATAGAGGGAATCGGTACCCCTTCATAGGGAATCGATACCCCTTCATAATATTCAAATATTATGACCGTTGGGCTGTTGAACAGGGGGGGAATCGGTACCCCCTGGGGGGGAATCGGTACCCCCTGGACATTCTGTTTTTGAGCTTTAGACAGGGGGGAATCGGTACCCCCTGGGGGGGTATCTGTACCCGGGGTATCTGTACCCCTTGGGCAATCTTGAAACCCCTTAAAATATTTTTGGCTCAAATCAGAATTTTAATTGACTTTGAATTATTTTTGAAACCTTTTAAAAACTTTGAATAAATTCAATTAAGTCCAAAAACATATTGTAAATTTAATTCAAGTCCAAAAACCATTTTGTCTTAAATTGTTATATCAAAACATAGTTCAACAATATTGGAGCTGCTTGATTCTACGGTTGATCTGTCTTTGTACATCACATTCTCATTGAAAATGATATTTTTGCTTCTGATTATCTTCCGATTTTCATAGTCCCAAAACCGGTAGCCGAACTCATCACCACCATAACCAACAAAGATACATTTGTTGAACTTGGCATCAAGTTTAATTCTTTCAGCAGAGTTTATGTGTACATAAGAAATACAACCAAACACTCTTAAGTGTGAAATACTTATTTCTTTTTTACTCCAAACTTCCTCTGGTATTCTGTCATCCAAAGGAACTGGGGGCCCACGGTTGATCAGGTAAGCTGCAGTGTTGATAGCTTCAGCCCATAGAAATTTGGGCAATCCGGCATGTATCCTCATATTTCTGGCACGTTCATTCAGAGTTCTGTTCATGCACTCTGCTATGCCATTATGCTGCGGTATCATGGGAACTGTTATCTCCATCTTGATCCCATTGTTTGCGCAGAAATCTCTGAATCTTCTATTTTTGTATTATCCTCTGTTGTCAGACCTTAACCGCTTGACTTTCAAACCAGTCTCATTTTCCACCATGGCCTTCCATTTTCTGAAGGTATCAAAGACTTCTGATTTTTTTCCAGAAAATAAACCCATATCTTCCTTGTAGAATCATCGATGAAGGTGACATAATATAATGAGCCTGCAAGAGATGGAACTGGAGATGGTCCCTATACATCAGTATGAACCAACTCTAACTTTTCAGCCTTGGGTGTCTTACCAATCTTTGCAAAGCTGACTTTCTTTTGTTTGCCAAAGATGCAATCCTCGCATAGTCCGACATCTACATTATTTAGATCCGACAACTTCCCCTTTGACAAAAGTGTCTTCATCCCTTTCTCGCTCATATGGCCAAGCCTTTGGTGCCATAGGTTTGATTTTCCATCAGCATCTACTACTGTAATGATATTCTCTAAATTTGATGTTACATAGAGAGTACCGACCTTCTTACCACGAGCAATGACGAGTGCTCATTTGGTAATCTTCCATTCACAGCCTGAAAAGGTTGTGTTATATTATTCTCCATCAAGTTGTCCTACAAAAATAAAATTTCTTTTGAGGCCAGGAATATGTCTCAAGTGGTCTGATTTGGCAACTTTAATCGGATGTCTCCTTTTCCGACGATTTTCAAGGTTTCATCATCAGCTAGATGAACATTCCCAAAATCACCATTGACATAGTTCTCCATGATTTCTCGGTATGGGGTGGAGTGGAAAGATGCCACTGAATCCAATATCCATGATTCAATCAGACTGTTGACGCTTAGAATCATGGCATCACCTGTCTCCTCTGTCACGTTGGCAGATTCCTGTACGTCGGTATTTTTCTTCAGTGCTCGGCAATCTCTTTTAAAGTGACCATTCTTGCCACAATTATAACAGGTAAAATCTTTCTTTCCCGTTCTGGATTTTCACTATCTGGACTTCGATCTGCCATGATTTGAATTTCTGTCTGAAGTTCTCTCTCTAGACTCCGTGTGCAAGGCTGAGGAGGTTGATGCTTCACCCGATTCTCTTCGTCGAATTTCTTCGCTCAGTACCAGATCTCGAACATCGTCGAATTTCAATTTACTATTTCCCGACGAGCTGCTAAATGCTGTAACAGTAGCCTTCCAACTGTCTGGTAGAGATGATAAGAGAATTAAAGCTCGAACTTTATCATCGAATTCAATTTCCACTGAACTCAACTAGGTTGTGATTGTGTTGAGTTCATTTAGGTGTTGTGACATCGATGCCCCTTCCGTCATCCGCAAATTGAATAATCGCCTCATCAAGTGCACTTTATTTGAGGCTGATGGCTTCTCATACATATTGGAGAGAGCAGCCATAAGACCCGCCGTGATCTTTTCCTTTGCTATGTTGAAAGCAACATTGTGGGATAACGTCAGTCGGATAACTCAGAGGGCTTGTCTGTCGAGAAGAGCCCAGTCTTCATTCTTCATGCCCTCTGGTTGCTTTCCTGAGAGAGGTTGATATAGATTTTTCTGGTACAGAAAATTTTCAATCTGCATATTCCAAAAGCCAAAGTCCGTACCATCGAACTTTTCAATTTTCACATTCTCTTCGTCTGCAGCCATCGCTCCCACTCGAATATGGTTTCGTTTGGATCGTTTCTGACAATTCTTGCGAACCACCGTGCATTAGAACACCTCCGTCGACAAGCTCGTATCGCCGACAAAATTTTTACTATTCATGAAATTCACTATTCATGTGAATAGTAATGAATAGTTACCTCGCAAAAAATTTTGACAAAATTTACAACCAAAAGCTCTGATGCCAGTTGTTGGAAAATAAACCGAGTACAAGTAATTTCCCTATAACCAGATTAGTGAGAATGCGAAATAAAAGCAGAAAAATAATACCCGAAATTGATAACGGAGTTCAGCCAATTGTGCTTACGTCTCCGGATTGCTACATATCTTTTACTAAGAGAGAAAATTTACAGGTGTTTACAAAACACTCACTACTCAAAAGAAAGATCTCTAGTATTGGGAGAAAGAAATGATTTTTGGGATTTTGGGATGATTTTGAAGCTAAATGAGCTAGGGTATTTATAGTTGAAACTTAGGGACTAATCTTTGAAAATACCCTAAAGTTCAATGACTAAAGTGAATTTACCCATTCCTATTTTCAACAAACATCTACCAAACTTTACCAAACTTTGAAAAACATTTTTTCAAATAAACATTTACCAAACTTTGAAAAAACATTTTTTAAAGTTGATTGCCAAACTTTGAACTAACTTTTAACATACTTGCCATCATGGAGTTCTATATATATATATATATATATATATATATATATATATATATATATATATATATATATATACAACTGGTGATTATCAAATGTTGGTATCCGGTAATCTAGCATTTATCATAAGAGATTAAAAGATATACGAGTTGCAATCGGTATCCGGTTCGATGGTGAAGCCGAGTGGAACGCCACAAAAGCCAGGCAACATAGCGATCGCAGTGGAATTGGGTTTGTTAGCGGTGATGAGCCCCATTAAGCACCCGCAAAACGATCTCCGGTCATCGGTGGAATGAGTCATCAAGCTGAGGTTGGTTATGGCCTCGCAACAGGGTGAACCGTAGGTGATGAAGGCGGTGCAGACCGAGATTAGGTACGTCACGGTGGTGCAGTCCACTGCTGCACCTATTGAGGCAGAACATGAAAGCAACATCAACATTGGCATGATAAATCTGAGTCCTCATTTATATATGTTTTTTTGGACCTTATCACTGCTAGTCTTGCAGGTAAGTATATCCTTGATTTAAATTTGGGTCGTTGTGCAATGAAAAGCGTGTGTGGTTCATAAAGGTTGAATGACTATCTGCATAATGAATTTTTGGGCACATTACACATTTAATACCTAAACTATCAGTTTTTATCCATTTTAGTACCTAAACACCAAAATGCTGCAAACAGATACAATATTTAACATGTTTTTTAGTTGGATATATAAGATCACTACTTTAATCTATTGTTTGTGAATTATTACAAACTAGTATTTGTTTTCTTTGTTTGTAATAAAGGCTCCATCATATACAGACATAAGCACAACATCAATCCAGTGTTCTGATGATCAAACAAAGCCATGATTGAAAAAACACACAGCGCCCCTAAGCTCTGACAATGAAATGTCAAATTGAATGTAAAAAGAAGATTGAAGAAGATGAATGTTATCCATCGGCCCGGTGTTAGTTGTTTCGGTCGCATTCCCATCTAGACGTGGGGACACAGCTGAGGTAATGGCACCAGCTGCAATATTTGTTTCCGTCTTCTCGCCGAAACAGCACCGTCAGTGCAACTCCGAGCCTGGGTTATGAAAGGACACATGACAATATTAGAACTCATCATATCGAAATCATGTTCAATCTTAAAGTGACATGATTATGAATGTTTGGTTGATTTCTTACCCTGCAAGCAACAGCACCATGGAAGCCACCCACAGGACATATTGGTAAGGCTTGTACTTCGATTTCAAACGAGTCCCGACCGGAACATTCCGGCTCTCAAACCACCCTAACTGAGGACGAGGTAGTAGGACGAACCCTAGTAGAAATCCAGTTAAAAACCCGCCAATATGTGCGAAATTGTCTACGTGTGGCAGAATCCCGATCGCGAGGTTAATTGCAATGATGACCAGAAGAGTAAGCAAAGCTGAAGCCTGCGGAATGCATCAACAACGGAAGTAAGGAATAGAAAAGGCCTAGTGGTTTCAACATTGTACTTTACATGTGATGAAACAGTTTATAATGTGCCACCTTGTTTGTGTATATGGCCCAATTTGTGATTAGCTCGGAAAGCATCGCGCCGAGAAGTCCAAAAAGAGCACCGGAGGCACCGACGGAGATGCTGTTTCGGATAAATAGAGACGATAACACGCTTCCACTGAATCCCGACAAGAGGTAAAGGATTCCAATCCGAACTGCCAAATTGTGAAGTAATAACAACAAACACATATCAGATATGTACAACTAAGAACTAGCCTTGATGTAAGGTTCAAACAGAAGACGAAACATACCAAACCCGAACTGCTGTTCGAGGCGAATTCCGATGAAGACGAGGCTCAACATGTTCGCTAAGAGATGAATGACACCGGCATGTAGCCAGATGCATGTTATAAGCCTCCATCCCTGATGGTTTACCACAACCTTGCTCCACTCAAGAGCTCCCAATTTCAGCAATCTGTAAGAAAGTGAAAAACAAATCTTCATAGAACAGAAATTTCAACAATTCAATCCAATAAACATTGCAGGGTGACCAGAAAATTTACGTAGAAGAAGAGGGACCGAAGAGAGGGTTCTCTCTCAAGGGCTGAAAAGAGAAACGACCGAGAAACCTCGCCACACAGGGGCCGCTGACAGGCCTCGTTCGACTGTTCTTCGGACAATCGTTGAGATACATAACGATTATAAAAACAGCAATATTAGCCACCACGAACATAGGCACCAACCACGATGTCCATTTACTCTCGCCATCTTCCATCATGTAAGTCGATGAAGCTACGTTAAAGCCATTGCTGTTTCTCTTCGCCCTTCCTCCTCTGTTCTCCACATCATCCTCTTCCATTTTCACCCCAAACCAATACAAGAAACAGTAAAAGAACAGAAAATAAAAAGCAGGCGGCCTTTTGGATTTGGGGTTCTTCTGTATATCTAGAAACTGTAGCTATATGATTTGTTTAACAAAAAATATTAGTTTTGTATGGAGTTGGTTGGGTTGAGAGCAATTGGGAGGGACACCCTACTAGTTTTGTTCCTTTTCTGGTCTTGTGTTGTTTTTGAGGTTGATTTAAACTGTCCCAGTTTGCAAGGAAATCGGGTGTCGTAGAAGACTCCATGTGATCATGTTTGATTGGCACGTAAAAAGCGTAAAGTTCGGTCATTTACGAGAAGAGAGGCGATTGGTTGTTGGGGGCTCCTAGTTAGTTGTGCACGCTAGCTTTGACAGTTACCTCATCTTTCGGTTTTGGCAGTTATTTTAACCCAACCCTCCTCTTGTCATGTCTCGTTTGCTTAGGGTGTTATATGTAATTATCGAATATATATATATATATATATATATATATATATGAAGCTTTTGTCGAAGAATATGATGCTTTTAGTTGTTTCGCACTGATATTTTCAGTGCTCAAATTCGTTGACGACAAAGATATGAAAATAAAGAACTCGGCTTTCACATTAGTAGATTCGAACCAATCCAAAACGCATCATTCCCCGTCATAGCTTCATCGGAGATGAAACGATTCGATCCAAATACCGACACTCTACGAGCGGATCATCGATTAACCGAGGTCAACAACAGTTGGAACTCGACAACGGTAGAATCGACGGTGAAAGTCCACCACCTAACCTACTTATGGATCACCAGCGAAGCTGGTGTATTGGTTGCGAGCGTAAGCAATAGGGCCTACATGAGGCAAGTGATGGAGGTGTCAGCTTGCCTACTCCATCTGCTATTTCCTACCAGCAGACGCAAAGCATACAATATTTAGAATGAAAGCAATATTTTTCCTCACCATTTCACAATTTTTATGGGCAAATTATGCATTTAGTGCCTAAACTATAAATTTTATTCCGTTTTGGTATATGAACTTTCAATTTTTTTTAAAATCATACTAAAAGTTTAGTTTTTGTTTTATTTTAGTATCACCGTTCAAAATTTGACGTTAATTTCTATTTTTTTTTAAAGTTTAGATATTAAAACGGACCAAAACTGATAGTTTAGTACTATAAAGTAGTATTTTATTGAGTCATTCAACTATTAAAAGTTACAAAATGATCTCTTGACTATATGAAGTTACTTTATTAAATTCATCGACTATTAAAAATTACAAAATAGTCATTCGACTATTCAATGTGTTATAAACTCGTCATTTTTTATTAAAAAAATTGATGATAGTTTGAGATGAACATTAAGTTGCTGACTGAGATATGGTAGTTATTTGAGATTATGAGTTCATGTTTATCATATCTCAGTCAACATGTTAACGTCCAACTTAGTCTGACATCGATTTCTTAAGGGAAAATGATGAGTTTGGAACACAATAAATAGTCAGGTGATCATTTTGTAAATTTTAATAGGCGGAAGACTTAAAAAAGCAACGTCTTATAATTTAGAGACCACTTTATAACATTTAATAGTCAAATGATTCAATAAAGTAACACTCGATAGTTGATGAACCGTTTGTATACTTCATCCAAAAAATAAATGATAAGAAAAAAAAGGCAATAATGGGCTAAAACATCTGCCCGACCACCATCGTCAAACGAAGGCCATAGTAGTTGGTTCATAAGAGACAAGCTATTTTGGCCCATTAGGGCAGACGGGTTAACTGTTTAGTCTAATATCGCACAAAGCAAATATTTAAGGATTTACGGTATTTATTATCGTAACGTGTAGGGATGGTAAAAAAATTCGTACCCGACGGGAAAAATCGAAAATCGAATTAAACAGGGACGGAGAAAAATCGTTTATGTTAAACGGGGATGGGGAAAAATCGTTTATGTTAAACGGGGACGGGTTTAGTAATCCCCGCCCAGATTATCCGGCCCGATAAATATTAAAAATAATTATTATATATATATAATATTAATAAATTTAATTTAAATTAAAAAATATATAATATTTATATATTTAATTTAAATATATATACCCGGCCCGATACCCGTTTAAATAATCGTTTATGCTAAACAGAGATACATGTTTCCCCGCGGTTTTCCCTGATTACCCGATGGGGATCCCCGTTTAAATCCCTACGGTTTTTTAAGCGGGGACGGGTACGCGTTTTTTAAATGGGGACGGGGACGGGGGACCAATACCCGGCCCAAACCCGGCCCGTTGCCATCCCTAGTAACGTGATGAGTTTTTAAAAAAATATTCAAAAAAATTATTTTGATGTGACAAAACCTAATAAAAATATATTTTACTAAAATTCGTTACTTCAACGTGACGAGTTCGAATAAAAATTATTATTTTAAAAGTTTATCATAAGGGCGTGATGAGTTTTTTCTACACCGTAAAGTATATCGTAAATCCCAAATTAATTTATGATATGACTAAATAATTATCCCGTCTGCCCCGATGGGCCAAAAAAACCTCATAAGAGACACACTAAAAACCGGCCCAACCGCTACCGTCAAACAAAGGCTGTATAGGATTGTAGGAGATATAATGGCCCATAACCCATTTACGAATCCCCAAAAGTCCCGCCAAGACACACGCGCACAAATTCAGCGCGTGGGAGTAAAGTAGGGCGGGCATCCCGAACGCCGATTTTGGGGGCAGCGAGTGAGGCCCACACCACACTGTACTAATATTGAAGCTCTTCGATTCTTCTCTCTAATCCAGTTCTCCGACATGATTAATTTCTTGTAAGAAAGAAAATTAATAAAAAAAAACCAAAGTTCAATACTTTATTATATAGTTTCCTCTGTCCTTTGACTCTGCAACAGATCCCAACAATTCAAAGGAGAAAGAGGAAGAAAAAGGTGGAGAGAAAGAGAAGTTTCCAAGGATCTGAATACCATGTAATCTTTTATTATTTTTTCACACACTGTTTAAAAAGGGTAACTCTAACATTTTTTTTTAATCACTGTCAGTCCCTGTAATGGGTTTCGGGTTCTTGTTTATGTGCATTTATTGCTTACAGCCTGTTGTTTTTTCCTACCTCCATTGCCGAAGGGAGAGAAAGAGGTCAACTGGGTGTTGCTTTTCATTGGTTAGGAGTGTACAGTGGTGTGAATGAGAAAGTTGTAAGCTTTGCCTTTGTTGTGTTCTTTGTTTTTTTCATTTTTTTTCTGTCAAACATATTGACAAAGAGTTGGTCAAGCATGTTGCTGGGAAAAATTAGGGTTTTTTCTTTGTCGTTTTAGTCATAATCTTCTGGAGTTTTCAGTGATTTTCCCAGGTGAGACTTTTAGCTAGAAAGGGGATCAAAAGAAGGTGTGAACTATTTTCGACTCTTTGTTTATATTATAAGATAAAAAAGTGGACTTTTTTTTGTCTTGTTCCACCGCTGTTTTTTTTTCTCTTTCTTACTTTCTTTAGAGAGAAAAACAGTAAATGTCTTCTAGAAAAAGAGAGATACATTGCAGTCATGCATGGGCGTTAACGAGGAGAGGGTTTTCTTTTCTTTTCTTCACCATTTGAAGAAGATGAAATTGTTTAAAAAAATTGGGACTTTGTAGAGAAAGAGAAACAAAATTCAAGAATTCTTTTTCCTCTTAATTTAATGAGTTTTGGAGGTTTGATCAAGAGTGGTAGTACTACTGCCAGCTGCGACGGTTTTGATATTGTCGCAAGGATACTTGTGGCTGATATTGTTCCGTACAGCAACATGCTAAGTGCTGGTGGTGGTGATGCCATTTTTGAGCTACCACCACCTCTTCTCACCCAACATATTCCCTTACCTATGCAAAGTTCCCCTTCCCTATCTCTCCCCTATGTACTCTCACTCTCTGTCCATGCATTCTTCTTTTATTTAATTCATCACCTACTTTATTATTGTTTGTGTTGATCTTTTGCTTTGTGACTTTGTTTTTTGTTTTTTTTATATTTAAAGATGGGGTCATCTAATTCGGGGTGACTTGGTTTTGGTGCAGAGAACAATGGATCAGTTGGGGGGAAATTTTGATCCTGGTTTAGTTGGGAGGATGAGGGAAGATGAAAATGAGAGTAGGTCCGGAAGTGACAACATTGAAGGTGCTTCCGGTGATGATCAGGCTGCTGATGGACGGCGGCCTAAGAAGTACCATAGGCACACTCCACATCAAATACAAGAGCTTGAATCGTATGGTTTTGTGTATCTTTCATTTCTTTGACTGAATCTTTTATAAGTTATCGTACTTTAAATCTCTGTGTTTATTGTGTTTGTTGTCTAGTTTCTTCAAGGAGTGTCCTCACCCTGATGAAAAACAAAGAATGGAGCTTAGCAGGAGGCTTGGCTTAGAGATCAAGCAAATCAAATTTTGGTTTCAGAACAGGAGAACTCAAATGAAGGTCAGTTTATGATGAACTTTTTTGTTGTGTTAGTGTTGATGTTGTTGAGTTCTAATCTTCAGTTTGAGGTTGCTGATGATGGAGTTTATTGTTTAAATTAGACCCAATTGGAGCGCCATGAGAATGTGATTCTTAGACAAGATAATGATAAACTCCGAGCCGAGAATGATTTCTTGAAGCAGGCCATGATTAGCCCGGTATGCAGCAGTTGCGGTGGTCCAGCGGTTCCTGGTGAAATATCGTATGAGCAGCACCAACTCAAGATTGAGAATGCTCGATTGAAAGACGAACTAAGCCGGGTTTGTTCTCTAACAAACAAGTTCTTGGGCTGGCCAGCCTCTTCCTCGGCCAGTCCTATTGCTTCCCAAGGCTTAAACTCCAATTTGGAGCTTGCAATGGGAAGAAATGGTTTTGGTGGCTTGAACAATGCAGGCACTTCATTGCCAATGGAATTCAACTTCTGTGATGGGGCTATGTTACCGTTGATGAAATCTAGGTCCAATGAAATGCCGTATGACAGGTCAGCCATCGTAAATGTTGCTTTGGCGGCTTTGGATGAATTAATTAAGTTGGCACAGATGGACAATCCTCTTTGGATCAAAGACCTGGATGGTGGGATCGAAACGTTGAATCTCGAGGAGTACAGTAGATCTTTCTCGTCTTGCAGTGGCATGAAACCAAGTGGCTACACAACTGAGGCTACAAGGGAAACTGGCCTGGTTTCCTTGGGTGGCTTGGCTCT